CACAAATACCTGATTTCCATTGTCCTGCAGCTCCCTCTGTCTGTTCACAGTCACTCCCATAGAAGTCTATGGGAAAACTGCAATACCTAGGCAGGGAGGATGGCATAGGCCTGAAGTGTTGAGGGGGGATTTAAACTGATGGACTGGCGTAAAGAACAACTCCAGGGAAAAAATGTTATTAACCCTTGCAGTGGGGCTACCCCAGCACTGGAAGGGTTAACTGCTCCTTTTTATCTAGGGACTAAAATAAAAAAAATTACGCTCACTCGATCATCATAGACGGCCAGCTGTGACAGAGCTCCCTCCAGCCTGTCTTCCCCTCCACTGCAGTGAAGGAATGTCCCTCGGCGTCCTCACATCCTGCACTCTGTGTATAGAACGTGGTTACTCAGGGAATCTTAGACCGCTGCAGTGGACGTCAGCAATGGCAGCACTGGCACTCAGTGCAGAATTCCTTCAAAGCTGAGCTTCAGGCAAACAGATAAATACACAGATGATATACACATAAGTACAGTCAAATGATTTGTATTTCTGTCCATCCAGTTCTGAGATTAAGACAGCTCTGTCTTCTCTGCTGCAGTTAAGTTACACTTACATGTCTTGTCCTTATTCTAGCCAGTGACTGGACAGTGAAAGGAGAAGCACTCTGCTTAGGTTAGAACATGAGCATTGCTCCTTGTGCTGCTTCTCCCTCTCACATTCTGAGCTGTGTTGTAGAGTGAACTGCATGTGTCTTATACCTAATCAAATTCAGATACTTACACTGATTGTATTAAAAATGACATTTGATGATGTGTGAATAAACACAGAGCTGCATTCACTTGTGTCTTTTATATCTGCCTGGAGTTCAGCTTTAAAGAATGTGTGAAAGAAATTACCCGTGGAAAACTTTGTAATAATGACAAGATGGTAACTGTACCACCCATACACACAGGGAAGGATCAACACACTTTAACAGAGCAGAACACCTTTTACACTATTTTTCATCTTAAAGTGGAAGCTAAAAAAATAATAATAATAAAAAGACCCCCCCCCCCCCTTTCTTTCTGAGAGCTTTTAGCCATAATGTACATGCACATCAATTTAGCACCTTTGGCAGCCAAAGCAATCCCTTCTTCTGGGTTTCGAGTATTCGGCCGCTTGTTTAACCAGACCCTGATGACATAAGTCCCGCGCATGTGCACGGGAGTTACTCTATCCCAGCATGCCGGGTCTGTGGACTGAGCCTGCTCATGCACCTCTCTGTGTACAGAAACAAATTGCTGATGGGTAGAATAAAGCTTTTATAGCAGAAGAGACTTACACAGTCTCTTCTACCATAGAAAGTCTGACGATCAACAACTTTTTTTTGGGAAGCTTTACTTCCACTTTAACATTCATGGAAGCTTCTCGGTGTGTATGAGAGGTAACATACTTAGACGCCGCAACTGAAGCGGATCTGAAGCGGATCCCGACAATTATGTCTGGATCCACCCAGCTGCGTAACTGACAGCTGGCTCTGCCTATCTAGAGGCAGAGCCAGCTGTACCCGCCCCCGTCCGTTCGGAGCGGGGAGGGGGGAATCCAGCCCCCTCCCCTGTCACGGCAGAGGACCTCCCGATCTACTAAGCCGACAGTCTCACTGTCACAGGTCGGCTAGAACTATGAGGTGAGTAAAAAGCACTCACCTCATAGTCAGCGGTGTATTTAACTTTTGTGCTGCCCTATTCAAGGCAACAACGCCGCCGCCGCCCCCCCCGGACTGAATCGAATCTGCGCTTCTCTCCAACAGCACAACCCCCCCCTGGACTGAATCGAATCTGCGCTTCTCTCCAACAGCACCCAACGTCCCCCCGTTCGCGGACGTTCTGCACACGCCGTCCACTCTCCAGGCCGACGTCCGCGTCATCCCATCCACGTGAGTATCACTCGTGGTGCCGCTCTCTGCAAATCTGCCGCCCCAGGCAAACGCCTTGTTTGCCTCGCGGCAGATACGCCCCTGCTCATAGTTCTCCTTTAAAAAAAATATCCGTTGATCCTGCTAGAAATCCAAAGCTGTCCTGTTCACTCTGCTGTGTTATCTTAAGTAGTGATGAGTTGGGGCTTGGTGTGATCCCAGTTCACTTGAGTCTTCCCAAGCCTGCTTAAAACTGTGACCAACATAAAAGCCCAATTAGAGGCTTCAGGTCCGGCGGGGGGCATTCCCTGCCCCTTTGTGACATGCAGCTGTGGGGTAAGGAATGAGCCTGCCACAACTTATTGGACGGGTGGGGGGTTCAGCAGGCAAGGGTGAACTCAGGCAAACTGGGATCACACCTAGCCCCATCTTGTCATTACTGGAGATAACACAGCAGGGCTAACAGGACAGCGCTGGATTTCCAGCAGGATCAAAGGATATTTTTTTTAACGCTCTGCCTGGAAAGAGGGTGCACTTATTGAGCAGATATAACAAACCGCTTTCAATGGTATATTTACCAGACCAAAAGGGAGTACATAAGAGTAGTTCATTGTTTGGCGTTTACATGCACTTAAGCCTTAAAATGCTTGCATAAGGCATATCAATGACTGGTTCCCTTTACAGTGGATCTGTAAGGTCCATTTATTTAGTGTACCCCCCCCCCCTTGCTAAAATTGTACATTACACTAGAAATAACCATGTCGTGGAATAAAGTTATTGAATTCTATTACCTTTCCCCTGGCTTCTGCACACAGCACCTAGGTGAGGGTGACGTCCTCATGCTTCCAGCAAGTTCCCAGGGAATGCTGACTAGTCTAAATCTTATGAGAAGATGATCCTGTTCTGTTCCGAAAGCTTCTTCTTGCAAGATTTGGCGTTCTCAGCATTTCCTAGGGTCTCATCTGCAAGATGGTGATCCCACCCCCTACACCAAGGAACTGAGGCAAAAGGTAAGTAAATGATCTAACTTTTTTTTCCACCACCGCTTTAGCAAGGGGAAGGGGGGCCACACTAAATAAGTGGACCTTGCTGGAAAAACAAGGTCCCCTCTACTAAGAAGGCAGGATACCTTGCCATTTAAGAAGGCAAGATGGAATTACCATCTCACTGGTGAGATCCCAGAGAATGCTGGGAACTCCAAATCTTGCAAGAAGAAGCTTCAGACATTAAGGACAAGGTACAGAAACCAATACTTATCTGATTTCACATTCAATTAGTACAGAGAGAACAATGAAAATGACTTCTGATTGGTTGCTGTAAATTACTGCACTATGATATACACTTTTTTAAAATGCTCCATCCATTAAAAAGAGATATTTCAGTTTCAGGCAGATGACTGCTTTACATTGTACACTAGCTTCTTAAATCTCTGATGAACACCCACAGAGAGTTCCCAGCCCTGGATACGTCATATTAAGCCAGCGAGTGATTCAGGCCACTTGAATCCACCTCAATCAAAGATTCATTTGGTGTGTCTGGCCCTTTTTAAAATCCCATTAGCTGTTTTGTTTATTTTTTTAAGCATGTAATTGTATAAAACATGCTGTTCCATTGCTATAATCGAAAATAAAGGTCACTGAACTGCTCCATTTGTGCTAAGTGTAAATGTACAGCGTAGTCCTCTACAAGGGCATCATGAGGCTAACTAGTTTTAATCTTCATAAAAACAAACCTTGGACTGTTCCTACATCCCGCCATCTGGCCACCTGTGAGAGCAGCAATAATAGAAAACAAGAAATAATACAAAGAATAAACGGTACCCATAGATCACTCTTTACAGCCTTTTCTGAAACGACGCCTATTGTGTATTAAGGTCCATCCATCTTTTCACTGTAAATCTGGATGACACGTCTCTCACCTTCCTATGCCTCAAACGACTCCAGAAGATCAACGGGGATGGCTCATAAAAACTGAAAGAAGAGGACTTTCTCTTTTTCTTTCAGTTTGTTAGGAACCATCCTCAATAAAATATGTCCAACTCTATTTCCCATTTATAAATTCTTAGATAGCACAAATGGATCCATTTTTTAGTTCTCAGCGGTGGCACGGTATGTTTTATACAATTGCATGATTCAAAATTAAATCAAAACCAATGGGCTTATATAAAGGGCCAGTCACCGCAAAACAACTGATTGTTAGGCTTTTTTCCCGGCACTTTTAAAGAGTAACAATGATGTGACTGGTTGCTACGGGCAACGCATGGACTTTTAATTATCCCAGTGCCGGGGTCTATTCTTATTCTCTCAGTCAGCACATTAGATACATATTCACAACACAGTTGCAAAATAGTATATTGCAGTTGTATATTTGCTAGGTTACCTCTTCTGTGTATACAAGATTGCAAGCAATGTTATTTAAAGTACTCCGTTGCCAAACACATCAGTATTTGTAAACTAATTAGTAATGAACTGTAATATGCAAACATACATACAGGTTTATGGCTGATTAATGGTCTTCCATTGTGTTTTAGCATTACAAGGGAAACAATGGGGGGAAAAAAGGTAAACAAAATGTAATTCTTATTGATCATTAGAGCAAGCTGCCTCCTGTACATTACTGATCCTGATAGTAAGCAATGCCATGTATTTATCTGTACAGATCAGCCAAAACAGTATGTGAAATACATCAATATTGGTGTGATCACATGACCTTTGTACATCTTGTCCATCATTAATAGATGATGCCAGGGAAACTATGTCCACACTGTGAGTGATGATGACCATTTCTCTAGAAAAGCAACAATGCCCAGTGTCATCAAATGGCACCAAGTACAACAGTTTTGGTGTGCACATCATCCTACATGCACAAGGCTCTGTGAAGACACAGATAGAAGACATGTAGACAGCTGTTGTCTTGGGATGGTGCTTTCATTGTGAAAGAATACATGTATGTTATCTACATGCTAGGAAGGAAGGAGGGGGGTGCACACAGACAACAATGACCACCATGCTATCTTCTGCAGATCTATGCACAGAATAAAGGTAGTGTGCTAGTGTCTGATGGCCATGATCCTCAGCACATATGGTGTACATGCATGTGCACACGTGTGTAATGTTACATGTACCTCCTTCTTGACGTTCCATAGCAGCTTCTCTTTGACGCTGTCATCTGAGCAGCTCATGGTGCAGGAACAGGTGGGATGATAGCGATGAGGAATGACGGCTTATCCTTAGCAGCACCCTGAGCCCGGCTTTGTGGGTGATGCTCTGTTCTTGTCAATGATGCTCCCCCTACTGCTGCTGATGCTGCCGCTGTCATTCCCCAGAACTCGCCGTGACGTCACGGTGGCGGCAGCCCCCGCCCTCCTCCTTTTTTCGAGCGCCGCCCCATTCTGATGGGCAGCCTGGAGTGCTGACCGCGTCCCGGGCGCGTCCATGACAACCAGCCTGTACAGGGAGGAGGAGGAGGAAGAGGACCAGTGTGATCCAGGCTGGGAGAGACCTAATGGAGGAGAGGAGAGCTAACAGTTCATCTAAAAATATATTCTTGTAGTTCTAATAAGATAGACTAAGAATTCGCCTATACTATGACAATTAAAGGATCAGTCCACGCTAAGTGCCCATTCACACCATAGTGTTGCATTAAGTGCACGCTTCTATGCAATTAATGCACACTACCGTGCAGGGGTGTAACTAGAAAACACAGGGCCCCATAGCAAAATTGTGTATGGGGCCCCACGAACCCCCCCACACACCAAAAGAACCTATCTCCATAACTGTTCTAATGCCTGTGCCATCTCCTCTACAGCTCTGCTCCTGCTGGCTCTGACGTCAAAGACTAAGAAGAGATAAGTAATAGAAATATGCACTATAAATATATATATAAATTATACACTATAAATATGTGGTAGGTTCACTCCACCTCTCACTGCTACAGAGTCCACCATAGACCCCGCACACCCCACCAGAGACCCTGCAGTGCCCACCTGACCCTCTGCAGATCCCACCTGACACCCCACAGAGCCCGCCTGACACCCCACAGAGCCAACCTGAGACCCCACACAGCCCACCATAGACCCCACACAGCCAACCAGACCCCACACAGCCCACCAGAGACCGAGCACAGCCCACCTGACACCCTGCAGTGCCCACCATAGACCCTGTAGAGCCCACCTGACACCCTGCAGTGCCCACCATAGACCCTGCAGAGCCCACCTGACACCCTGCAGAGCCCACCTGACACCCTGCAGAGCCCGCCTGACACCCCGCAGAGCCCACCTGAGATCCCACACAGCCCACCATAGACCCCACACAGCCAACCATAGACCCCGCACAGCCCACCAGAGACCCTGCACAGCCCACCTGACACCCTGCAGAGCCCACCATAGACCCCGCAGAGTCACCCTCAGACCCCACACAACCCACCATAGACCCCGCACAGCCAACCATAGACCCCACACAGCCCACCAGAGACCCTGCACAGCCCACCTGACACCCTGCAGAGCCCACCATAGACCCCACAACACTGACCTAGGATCCCACAGAGCCCACCTGAGAGTGACCCTGCAGAGCCCACCATAGACCCTGCAAACCTCACCTAGGATCCCACAGAGCCCACCTGAGAGTGACCCTGCAGAGCCCTCCATACACCCTGTAGAGCCCACCTGAGACCCTGCAGAACCCACCTGAGACCCCGCACAGCCAACAATAGACCCCGCACAGCCCACCATAGACCCCGAACAGCCCACCATAGACCCCACACAGGCCTGCCATAGATCCTGCACAGCCCACCTGAGACCGCACAAATCCCACCATAGACCCCGCACAGCCCACTTGAGACTCCACACATATCGGAGACCCTGCATAGCCCACCTGAGACCCTTCACAGCCCACCTGAGAGTGACCTTCAGAGACTACCATAGATCCTACACAGCCCACCTGAGACTCTATGGTGGGCTCTGCAGGCTCTCGTGTGGTTGCATTCCCTGCACACAATACTATGCGATTAACGCACTTTACTAGTGTGAACGGGTCCTCAAAAACACTCACAGACATATATAACCACAGACACAATCTGCTGAACTGTGACGGAGCTCCATCTATGTGTGCATTACATGTGCAGCTTCCTTGCGTGCCCTGTAGAGGTGCCGGGAGCCAGAATGTGACGTCACTCCGGTCCAGACACCTCTATAGGACACGTGAGGGAGCGGTAAGCAATGCACGTATGTATGGAGCACCCTTGCAGCCATAGCCCCATTCCACCCCATCCCAAGCTGACACTCGGCTTCGGGCAGCATATTTTGAATGGCTGCTTGGAGCGGGAACAGACAGTGCTGCGCTATCGGGAGGCTGAGGAGCCTCTAAACTAGAAAACTGGAAGACATGTGGCGACCCACTAAACAGGGAGTCGCGACCCACTTTTGGGTCACGACCCACCAGTTGAGAACCAAGGATTTATAGAACATCAGCAGTACTCGGATTTCTGTATTTAGTAGTTCTACCAAGTAGGATTGTGAAATATATAGTTGGAAGTGTTATGATTAAGTGAACCATTTCTTTGCCCAGAGCAAAGCAATGTATTTACTCATGTTGAACCACATCATTACCAATCACACATCATGTGTTGTGGTGCAGTGCAACACAGGTGCATTCTGAGGGTAGCATTGTGCTGCTATTCATCATGAATGGCTGGTACTGTGAATGAGCCCTTAAATGTTGGCCACCCATGCTGCTTACTGTCTTTTCACAACCCTGTTGCTCTTTCCACATGCAGGATCAAAGAGAAGAAGTTTGTGTAATCTTCAAGCTCGTCTCTGTTCAGAGCTTACACAGGGCTGAGGACTCTCTTTTGCCCCCATGTGACAGAGCTGGTGCAGAGCAATTGGCTCCCAGCCACCTGGCGCTGCATCATGGGTAGGGAGACAATGTTTGTACCGATATGTACACTATAGTTTTTAGACTGGAAGGCAAACACAATCATCTTTTACTTTCATGGTAGGAATGGTCACATAACGTCTCAGCTGCAAAGAAAGTTGTTGCTAAAAGATTTCCTTTTGGCAGAAGCTGTAATTGCAGGTCTGAATGGAGAGTGTGGTGCTATGTGTCACGGACGCACTCAGGGCCGCCAGCCCAACATATTTTTAAAAACTGTCTTGGAGGGCAAACGCCCACCTTTCCAGTCTACTCCTTCACCCAACCCCCTTGCGCTTACCTACTCCAAGCTCTCCTGCCATTCTGTTACGACAGGAGTCTAAAATTGTGTAAGCCCTGTGCAGGTTTGTGTCAGAGCTTACATTGGGTTGATGACCTTGTTCTCCGTGTTAGGTAATTGTGGAATGGTGGAAGTCCCTTACATCTACAACTTGTTGATCACGTGGATGGAACTTGAACATCCTTACTGTATTAGGACATGAGGAATGTAAAATAAGTGTGAATAGTGGTGGGACATACATGGAGGAATGAGGTGGAACCCCAGAACACAAGTAAGATTGTTCTCGCGAGTGAGGCTCAGAGACAATGTCATGATGCAGCAGTCTGGCTGCTTTATGCCCATGTCCAGCTGTTTGGAAGATGTGATGGAAATGTGATATAATAGCCGGCCAGCTTACTTACATGTCTCATGAAGTGGATTTTGCAAGTACACTATTACAGTGAAGTCACTGCAACAAACCAGACCTCATTGAAAGAGTAAGGATTGATGATATGTTATCACCAGTACAGTATGTCCTGTAAATGTGTTTTTGGATGGGCATGGAACTGATTTGCTGGGGGGACTTCAGGTTATAAATCTTAAAAATTGAAAAGAATGGATCAACCAGATTATGGGCAGAGGGAGTTTTGTATTAAAATAATTAATGCTCAAAGATAGACACATATACGGAGTGGCCAGTTTATTATGACCACCTGACGTTTGTAGGCAAATTAGCTATAATTAGCTAAAATTTTGCGCTGAAGGTGCTAGAGTGTCAGACCATTATAAATAGGGAAGCAAGTTGTTTACCACGACAGTAGAAGTGATTTTTTTCTGAAGATATGGGTAAACAACGCGATTTAACAGCCTTTGAACGTGGGATGATTGTTGGCGCGAGCCATGAAGCGAGTATCAGCAAAACAGCAGAATTTGTTAAATGTTTAAGAAGGCCTCATTGTTAAAGTGTTTAAAGACTGGACTGTCAGCCGAAAATCTGGGCCTGAACGTGCAAATTGTGGCCGTCAGCGACTAGTCAATGTTAGGGCAGAACGGAAAGTGGCAAGACTGGTACAAGACAACAGAAGGGCAACAGTGCAGTGTCAGATTCCTCGCATCACCTTTCAACATCTCGTGGAGTCACGAGGCGGCCCAACGAAGTCATCTCGTGGAGTTATCTTGTGGCCCAACGAAGTAATGATGGGGTGGTCATAATAATCTGGCCACTCAGTGTAGTTGCATAATTATATTCAATATATTACTAATAGACTAGCAAATATACCTGGAACCACCAGAAAAGGACCCCTGAACTGATCTATTGCCCGTTTAGGGTCTGAAAACTTCCAATCTAATATTAGAATTTAGAAAGGTGCAATATTTCAGGATAAGGAAAGGCTTCCTATAGTTTCTGCATTTAAAGTGAGACAACAACTACCTAGGTTACTGAGTTGTTTTTATATTGTTATTTTGTACACTTTGGTGTTGGGGTTTTGGCACTTAGATGGTTTGAAGGAACTTCAAGTGGATAATGTTTCTAACCCTGTGGTAGAGAAATTAAGTATTTTAAACATTTTTTTGCGAATTCAGACAACAGCAGTGCCTGAATGCCTACTGCCTTTTCTTTTTATTTATTTTTTGTAAATTCTTTATTTAATAATTCAAAGTTATACAAAACAAGCAAAGGTATCTGTAGAAAGTAACGATCAGATCTAAAAGAGATCTTAATAATATATATAGAATTATATATGCATTTTCAAATAAAATTGTAATAATAATATTATAATAATACAATACAATAATAATGATATAAAATAAAAGTGAAATAGTCAATGTTGAGTAGCGCAGGGAAGTGTGCAGAAAAAAAGGAGATAAGGAGAGATTAGAATATAGAAAAGAAAGATATGGAAAAAGGGAAGGGAAGGACAGGAATACGCTTAGGCGATCACGTATGGTATAGAAATTGTCTTCTGGTTTGACATCAGGGAGTTAATTCTGAAGATAAGCTGAAACAAATCCAATAAAACCAGGTATGGTGAAACTTCTCTTCACTGTGGTAGAAAGAAGTTATGAGATCTTACTTTTTTATAGATTTCATCAA